CCACCCAGCCCGAGGGCGTGAGTAATCGACCAACCTGCCCACCCCAAGGGATGTTCAAAGCAAGCCTCTTCCGAATCAGACCCTATCATGCATCCTGTCATCCAAATCATACCAATGTTACAAGCATAAGAAAGTGTGCTATGAAGTAATAAGTACTAGAAAATAACTGAATTTCATTAACATGTTAAGCAAACTTTGCGGGTTACATCTTTGTTCAACTTTCCAAAACCTTTTTGCAAAAAAGCAAACATTTACACATAATATCTTTTCAAGTTAGCTATCTTCCATGACCTGGCAAGTGATCGTCCTTCTGCATCCTTTATAGAGTATGCTCCTCTTGTATGCACTCTTTTGACCAGGTACGGTCCTTCCCAGTTTGGTTTCAGCTTTCCAACGTGTTTGTGCACATCAACGCGTTTCCAAACCAAGTCACCCACTTGGAATCTGCGGACTTTCACCTTTTTGTCATGAGCTGCTCGCATCCTTTGTTTGTATGCCTCCACTCTGATCTCTGCTCTTTCGCGCAGTTCCTCAATGGTATCTAAGGCTGCCATCATTAGATCTTCATTCTGCTCCGGGTCATATGTGCTCGACCTTTGCGATGATAGCTCGACCTCGACTGGCAGCAGTGCTTCCATCCCATAGACTAGACTGAAGGGGGTTTCTCCTCTCGTCGACCTCGGGGTAGTGCGGTATGCTCAAAGTACCAAAGTTAGCTCGTCGACCCATGCTCCCGAGGCCTTTTTCAGCCTTGTTTTTAGCCCATTCAGCATAATTCGGTTGGTCACCTCGACTTGGCCATTGGCTTGCAGATGAGCAACGGAGGCAAAGTGTTGCTCAATCTTCATATCTTCACACCATGCTCGAATCCGCTTGCCATTGAATTGAGTTGCATTGTCGGATATCAACACTTTGGGAACGCCAAACCTGCAGCAAATATTGTTAAATAAAAAATTGATAACTTTCTCCTCCGTGATCTTTGCCAAGGGCTCGGCCTCCAACCATTTCGTGAAATAGTCCACCGCCACAATCAAGAATTTCCTCTGCCTTGTCCCTTGCGGCATTGGCCCCACCAGGTCGATTCCCCGCTGGGCGAATGGTATGGGGGCACTTTTTGTTGTCATGGCTTCTGGAGGTTGATGAATCAACGGGCCGTGCTTCTGGCACTGCAAACACTTCTTCACCATAGCCTTAGCGTCCTCCTTCATCGTCGGCCAGAAATACCCCACCCTCAAAATTTTTGCGACCAAGGCCCCTGACTTGCTATGGTCGCTACAGCATCCCTCGTGCACTTCCTTCAGCACGTATCGACACTCCTCCTTAGTCATACAGTGCATATGTGGTCCGACATACGACCGCTTGTAAAGAATGCCTCCATGCTCAAAAAATCTCCTCACTACCTTTATCGCCCCTTCTTTCAACTCCTTTAAGATCGGGGCTCTCCAGTACTCAACCTCCTCAATCTCCACCACCTCAGTATCGACCACGCTTCTCTCCAAATGTAATAGAGTCACACTTCTGCTTTTACAATCCACCAGATTCTGAGCAATTTTTGACAATAAATCTGCTTGACCGTTTTCTCCTCGAGGAATCTGTAACAACTCGAATGAGTCAAAATCCTCTTTCAACTTCTTCATCTCGTCCACATATTTCTGCATCCGATCCTTCTTGACTTCAAATCCCTCTTAGAATTGCCCAACTACTAGCTGAGAGTCAGAATGGACTTGCACTCTTCGGGCTCCTCCCGTCGTAGCCAGCTGCAGACCTTTGATCACTGCCTCATATTCAATATCATTGTTAGATACCCTGGACCCCACCTTGACTGCAAACTCCAAATAATCGCCCTTAGAGGAAACAAGAACAATTCCCAATCCTACTCCACTTCTTGCCACAGATCCATCCACGAACAACTTCCATACTCCTTCAGACTCCTCGACTTTCGTACCTTTTCCTGGATAATATCCACTAACACCTGCGCCTTTATGGCCCTCCTCGGCTCATACAACAATGAGTATTCACTCAGCTTGACCACCCATTTCACCAGTCGACCAGAAACTGAGGGTCGGCCGAGCGTTTCGCCCAGTGGCATATTCGTTCTTACCTTTACCTTATGATTCAAGAAATAAGGCCTTAGCTTTCGAGCAGTTACAGCTACCGCCAGAGCATACTTCTCAATCTCCGAGTACCTCATCTCCGCTCCCTGCATCACCCTGCTCACGGAATAGATAAGAAATTGTGCTATTCCCTCTTCCCGCAACAACACAGAGCTCACTGCCCTCTCTCCGATGGAGATATACAGCACTAAATCTTCCCCTTGTACCAGCTTGGCCAATAGGGGAAGGTTGGCTAACACCCAAGAATTTTCCTGATTTCAACCCAAACGAGCACATAGCCGGATTCAACTTCATGCCATACCTCCTCAATGTTAAAAACGTCTCCTTCAGGTCTCGTACATGATCCATCTCCTCCTTACTTTTTACCAGCATAATCTACATACAGTTCCATATTCCACCCCAACTACTCCTTGAAGATTTTGTCGACCAACCTTTGATACGTGGCACCCGCGTTTTTTAGGCCGAACGGCATCACCACGTAACAATAGGTTCCTCGACTTGTCACGAAGCTCACCCGCTTTATATCTTCTCTCGCCAAGGGAATTTAATGATATCCCTGGGAGGCATCCATTAAGCTCAGCAACTCACATCCCGTAGTTGAGTTGACCAGTTGGTCGATTCTGGGCAATGGGTACAGATCCTTCAGGCATGCTTTGTTTAGATCGCGGAAGTCGATGCACATTCTCTATTTTCCCTCCGCCTTTGACACCATCACAATGTTTGATAACCACTCTGGGAACTGAATCTCCTTAATATGCACTGCACCTAGCAATTTCTCCACCTCCTGCTCTATGATTCGATCCATCTCCGCCCCATGGTGCCTTCTTTTTTCCTTCACCGACCTCACACTGAGGTCGATGTTCAGACGGTGCTCAATCACCTCTGCACTTATTCCCATCAATTCTTCTGCCGTATAGGCAAAGACATCAGCAAATTCCCTCATTAAACTTATCAGCCTCGACCTAATCGGCTCTTTCAGCTCTTTCCCAATTCTAAACTTCCTCTCCTCAAACCCCTCGACCATCTGGATCTCCTCAACCTCCCCTCCTAGTTGGATATCTACCTTCTCCTTATCTTTCGCTAACCTCAGCCTATCCTCCTTTGATCTCGACCCACCTGGTCGACTAACTTCTTCTTCCCTCGACTTGGCCTGCCTCTTCGCCAGTTGTTTGTTGTTGCTTACCGTCGTCTAATAGCAACTCCTCGAGGTAAGTTGATCCCCTGCGATCTCACCAACGTTTTCGCCCACCGGATACTTGATCGTATTATGGTACGTTGATACGACCGCCTAGAATGCGTTCAACTCGTTCTTCCCATAATGATGTTATAAGATGACTCAACTCCCACGACCACAAATCTCGCCATCCGCACCTTCCTCATCACTCCTGACCCCAACGCCACTGGCAAAATAACCTCGCCCATGGCATAACTTCTCCTCTGTTGAAGCCGTAAAGCGTCGTGGCCACCGGTTTCAGCTCTATATTCAGCTCCTTGTTGATCTGCGAAAAACAATCATAAAACATTACATCTACCGAACTCCCAGTATCAATGAACACCCTTTTCATATCAAAACCTGGCACCTCCGCCGTACTCACCAGGGCATCATTGTGTGGCAACACCACACCTTCAACATCCTCCGCTTTAAAACTTATCACCGGCATGCGAGCCGTAATCCCCACCTCATCTCTCTTCCTTTTCACGGCTCGGGCATGTTCTTTCCTGGAATTATTTGAGTCGCCATCTGTTGGCCCTCCTGAGATCATATAGATCGTTTCTCTCTTCACGAGAGCTTCGCCCCCTTGGCCTCCTTTCTCTCCATCTCTCCTCGGCTTCTTCCCTTGACCGTCTCGACCATCTCTATCATCCCCCTCCTCATCTCTATCACTCCTCTCCTCTGAATCCTCCCGACATCTCCTCCTCCCTTTTCTTTTCACCCTATCATGATATACAAACTCCTTTAAATGCCCCGCCCGAATCAACCTCTCAATCTCATCCTTCAAATGCCTGCAATTCTCCGTGGTATGGCCATAGTCCCGGTGAAAACGACAATAGATATCTGACCTAGGCCGAGTCGAGCCTGTAAACCTTATTTTCGGCCATGTCACATCCTTGCTCAACATCTTCTGCTCCATCGCCTCGAGCACTTCTGTCATATCTTTTCTCAAAGGCGTGAAATTATGGTACCTCTGTCTCTCGAACAATAATGGCCTCCCCTGCCACCTGTCATCCCTTTTCGCTTGCTTTGAGTCTCGCCCCTCTCCTCTAGGCGATGTTCTTTTTGGTCCAATCCGTCTAGGCAAACTTCTCCTCGGCGACCTTCCCCTCGGTGGGCTTTTTTCCTTTTTTGGCTCTGGTCAAGCAGCTCCCTTTAATTTTGCAAACTCCACCTCCATTTCCTCCAAGTTAATATACTTCCTGCACCGCTTTAAAACATCCTCATATGATCGAGCAGGGGTCTTTGCCAGTGAGGTTCGGCAAAGCCCTGCTCGAAGACTCCTTATCAGCCCTCCTGCCTTCACCTCATCCGACGCCAAGTGCACCTCCAAGCACGTTTGATTATATCGAGCAACATACTTCCTCAACGACTCATTCTCTCCCTGCTTTATCGCCATCAAGGTCAAATATGTCTTCTCCTGAGCCACCGCGCTTTGGTGATCTTACTGGCGAAATCCACACAGTCCGCAATCGACCCCGGAGGCAGCTGATGAAACCAATCAAGCTCTCCTCCACGCAAGGTCAATAAAAATGCCTTGCAACATACAGAATCAGAATATCCATGCAACACATCCATATTTTCAAAAGTCCTAACACGCCTCGACGGGTCAGATGACCCATCATATACCAAGTTAGTCACCCTAAAATTATTCGGCAAAGGGGCCGTGAGAATCTCCCTCGAGAAAGGATGTCCTCGAGCTCTCTTCTCCAGCCTCCCTCGACCTTGTCCTGCAACTGGCGCAACTGCTCCACCATCCTCTCCATTGCACGATCCCTTACGCCTCCTCCATCTCCATAGCTAGACACATCCTCCTCCTAACTTCCTACCACTGTGGTCAGCGTGGTTGTGGCGTGAGACGTGTGGCTTGTGACTTGCTGCACCGCCTGCGCCGCCGCGACCACCACCATCCTCTGCATCTCCTCCCTGGTCATCGCAACCTTATGTTGACCGGGGGCTTGCACAACCTCTTGTGATGGCGCTCCTCCTTGCACCACCGCTCCTCCTGGTTGCGCCACCACTAGGTTTTGGGGCGGCGGCGGTGGCATCGCCGCCGCGGCTGCTGCGCGAGCCTCCTGGGCATGACTGGAGCTTGCCTCTCCTCCGGGAACCGCCGTCAATGCTCCCACACCTTGAAGGACGGGTGTAGGAGTGACCGGCGTCTGCGAAGGGCCAGAGAAACCCGGAGGAGGGCCATGCCCAATTGGCCTGGTCATCGTCCAAGCGTCATCGAACGTCGACTGCAAGTTGGTTCTGGGAATTCCGTCTGCCATAGCTGAGCTTCAAACACAACCTTTCGAACAAAAAGTCCCACAGACGGTGCCAATAATGCAAGTGTGAGCGTCCTGGCCCGGTTTGGGGTAGATCGAATCTTATCCTTCGCCGGTAGAATGCGGGAAACCTGCAAATAACTCTCACACAGGGGGTTGTGTCCGGTGAAGAGCCTCTGATGCTTAAGTAGTATGTGTTTGAGTATACTAAAGAGAGTAATAGAAACATCGTGTTGAGAAAGAAAGGCTAACCCCCTTTATATAGGAGTGAGATACCTGACCTAAGGCTGCCCGAATTTGGTGAGCTGGCTGCCCAAGCTGCCCGTCTGTACTCTGACACACCGCGCGCATGTCAGAGGTGGCGCGGGCCGTTAGGAGCTGTCAGAGGTGGTTGTCGCTATCAACCAATGTGTTCTCGACACGTGTCCTTCTGTACATGGAGTGAATATTCTTCTGAAATTCCATTAGAGGCTCTTGCACGCGCCTGTGACTAGGCCGATCCCGGAAGTGTTAAGTCCGTGAAGTGGTCGACCTGTTGAGGTCGACTAAACTGCTCGATCGTTTACCTGGTCAAATGACGGATTGGTCGAACACTTGACTGATCGACTGGTTGACTGATCGATCTTCCCGCCACTTGGCTCGACGTCTTCACAATACAGTCCCTTCGACCGGTTCAGCAGACTGGTTTAGCCTTGTGGGTATAATATTCTATATCATATATATATATATTGGGATTGGTTCCAATACATCCACTTTTTTAAAGTGAGGACGTGAGGCCGCATCTCGTCCGTTCTTTCTGCATCTAATTTAACGTCCAGGATTAATTCATTATATTCATTAATTTTCGTGGGTGCTTCTTCATCTTCTTCGTTCGCACTTGTTCCTTGCTTCTATTCCATTCTCTTCCACTTTCGATTTTATCTCCATTTTATCTCCTGATTCCATTTTCGCACTTGCTCCTTGTTCTGTTCCATTCTCTTCCACTTTCGATTTGATTTTGCTTTTCGTCTCAATTTCTGTTTCGGTTGTATCGTTCGCAGTCTCTATTCTCGCAGATTCTTGTCTTAATCGGTGAGTATTTTTTGCGTTTGTTTTTGTTTGTAATCTTTTTTTCGATTTTAGGTTTTTTTTCACTTAATAGATTTAAGTAATATGTTTTAGTTATTTTTTATCGGTGTTTTTTTTTTTAATTCAATCCATGTATAAAGTGTATCATCCGTATTTTCGGGTTTTTATTGGTTGTGTGTCTGAGTTGAAAGGTTATTGATGTTTAGTTACAAGGTTAGTTGTCAATCGTTGGTAGGTTTGCTGTCTATCGTTGGTAGGTTAGTTGTCTGTGTTGTTTTGTTATTTTTCTGATGCTGCTAGATTAGTTATATATCTCTGCAAGGTTAGTTTTATCATGTTGCAATGTTAGTTGTATGTTGTTGCTAGGTTAGCTGTCTGTTGGTGCTAGGTTAGATGACTGTTGGTGTTAGGTTAGTTGACTGTTAGTGCTAGGTTAGTAGTCTGTTGTTGCTAGGTTCGTTACCTGTAGCTGCTAAGATAGTTGTCATTGCTAGGTTAGTTATATATTGGTGCTTGGATAGTTATATATCTTTGCTAGGTTAGATTTATCAAGTTGCAATGATAGTTGTATGTTGTTGCTAGGTTAGTTATCTTCTGTTGCCAGGTTAGTTATATAATGTCTGCAAGGTTAGTTTTATCATGTTGCAATATTAGTTGTATGTGTTGCTAGGTTAGCTGTCTGTTGGTGCTAGGTTAGTTGTTTGCTAGTGCTAGGTTAGTTATCTGTAACTGCTAGGATAGTTGTCTTTCATTGCTAGGTTAGTTACATATCTCTGCTAAGTTAGTTCTCTTTTTTTGCTAGGATAGCTATCTTTTACTGCTAGGTTAGTTATCTGTAGCTGCTAGGATAGTTATCTGTAGCTGCTAGGATAGTTCTCTTTGCTAGGTTAGTTTTATCATGTTGCAATGTTTTTTT